GGCATGGGTCTGTCCGTGGACAGCCAGTAGGAGTAGTCGTTACGGGATGCGAAGTTGCAGACGTTGTTGATATTGCAGAACATGAAGGGCATGGTGCTAAATCTGCGCAGGCAGCTACCGGCTGTGCCTGAAAGAAGACGGTCAGTTATGTGAACTGCTTTCTGACAGCTGTCTGATACAATGCAACTTCTAGGTAAAGCCTACCAAGGTCCTGTCCGTGTGCCCGCTCGTTGCCCTGCACGTACAACAGAGAGTATCCGTTATAGATAAACTTAGTTCCAGTGGGGCACTCTGGGTCATCGGTGGTCTGGCTGTGCCGGGTGATGAGGAAACCGTGAGCAGCAGAAACTGATCCTGGGACACCGGGAGGACCTTGTGGGCCATCTGAACCACGGGGACCAGGGTTGCCAGGCTGACCTGTAATAAGGGGAATGTCTGTATTAGCAATGAGAAGCCTCAGGGCAGCAACAGTGCCAGTATCCACAGAAACATCAAAATCTCAGCTAAAAGCTCACATAACCATTTCTATGACTTCCAAAGCAAAAACAACAAATAATTAAAAGAGCAGCTAAGCAAAAAGGTGTAAACAAAAAGCAGAGATGCCCCTGTTCACCTGACAGCATGTACATGGACAAACAATGTCTCTGCTGAAAACAGACATCTCTCAGATACCAACACTGCAAACTCTCATCATGTTCCAACCAAAAGTCACTAAACCAGCAGCAAAAGAAGAACACAATTACATTAATGTTTGAAAAACATTACCATGAATTCTGTCTAACCTTTAATCTCTTACAAAACTTAAATCCATCGCGATAACAGCACATTTCCTCAATAACTCCATTTCCAAGTGTGCTTTGAGAGAAGTTTCCCATCAAAAACAACCACGTTCCACCTTATTAGCTTATTTATGCACAAACACATTACATGCAAGTCCACTACTGTGTACAAGTGTAAACTCTAGCAGCTTTATCCTTCCACAGATAACATCCATATGTTGATTCATGGTTTTCTTGAGTTTCTGGTCTACTGCGGCATATTCTCAAAGGCGTAATAGAGAACAAAATATGCCGGATAAAATCCTTTGTATTTTTGTTCCATCCTAATTTCATTGTTAGCTTGTTCGCTTTATTTTGATACGTAGACTTTTGTCATTTTCAAGCAGGAACATCACAAAGAACCCTGGGTCCTAATAGGTTAAACTTCTTCTTTTTCCAGCTGCTCCCTTTAGGAGTCACCACAGCTGATCATTTGCCTCCAATTCCACCCTATCTCTTGGACGTCCTTTGTCACAACAACCCTCTGTGTATTCTTCTTCACCAAATCCATGAAGCTTCTCTGTGGCCCTCCTCTTTTTCTTCAACCTCCATATTCATCCTTTGTCCAGTATATCCTTTTATATCCAGTAAATCTTTGATCAGCAAATAAATAAAACTTTTGGCCATGACAGTACATACACTACTAATAACGTTTACTCTTTGTTCAACCAGGGATAACATATAGAGTAGGTCAGTGATGAGACTCTCTGCCTTACTTACCAGGCTGACCTGCCGGACCAATGTCTCCCTTCCTGCCGGGAGGTCCGTTGAAGCCAGGAGGACCATCGCTCCCAGGTCCACCAGGGTCACCTTTGATACCTGAGACCATGAGGCAGGAGAGGCAATGACTCCATCAGTTTTTTCCACCTTAGATCATTTTACTCATCACGTTCACATTACATTAGCCCACATATAAAATTGTCATGGTTTCTATATTGTACAGCACTTGTGTGAGAAGAAGAGCCTGTGAAAAGGGTTGTATACTTTCTGAGTCAAAGATAATTCATGACAAAATGTGTGACTTACAAAGTATTGCTTTTACTTTTAAAATTCACTGTGTAATCTGTCCCCTAGCATTATGGAAAACGTTCAAAGTATTCAGCCATGCTATCAGAAGTAATAATAGTACAAAATCTTATTTTAGGATCACAGATGTGGCCAAAATTTACTCCGAGAAATCATATTGTCAGTATTTATGGAAATACAAAATCCCTATTTAATATGTATTAAATGCAAAAATTGAAAACCTCTTTCCTCAAAACTATAAATATCTGTAAAAGTACAGTATAGATAGCTTTGTAGGAAGTGCTTCCCCTTTGAGAAGAGCAGCATAATCATTTGATCCTGATCTGATCAGTCTTTTATGTTATCTTTATCAGTTCCCATCATAGAAACTATATTTACTTACCTGAGCCTCCAGGTTGGCCGGGCAAACCAGGTGGTCCTGGAGAACCAGGTAGGCCCTGAAGACCTGGGGGTCCCCGTTCTCCCTTTAGCACAATGGGAGGCGAACCTTCACCGGGATCACCCGGAGTGCCTATTAACACGAGAAAATTCTCCTGTTAGCGCACTTGTCTGGGGGTGAGTCGGAGGGAGACAAAATAAAGCAGCAGCACAGATTTTTCTTTTGAAGGTAGTCTCACGTCTCTTCACTCTAGAAGAAAAGGATAACATGTTGACCTACCCCGTTCTCCAGGTAATCCACGATCTCCAGGAGGGCCACTGGGGCCAGGATATCCAAGATCACCCTTCAAACCTGATAAAAACAAATCTTTAGGCTCTGTTCACAATAAATGCTGAAGACTAAAATATGTTTTTGTAAAAAAAAAAGAAGCACAAATAATGTTATTGTGAACAAACCGGGGAATCCAGGAACACCAGGCTGTCCTGAATCTCCCTTTATTCCAGCGGGGCCAGTAGGACCGGGTATGCCCTGAGAAGAAAGGGTTGTAGAGATATTGTGAGCTCAGCTAATGAAGGACAAAGAAATACAGATGTGCATTCTTTTGGACTCAGAAGATAATGAAGTAAATGTAAAACAGGGTGTTACCGGATTTCCTGGAAAACCAGGATCTCCCTTCTGTCCGGGGATGCCAGGAATTCCAGGCATGCCAAGAGTACCCTTTTCTCCCTTCACGCCACCAGTTCCTGGGAGTCCACGAGGACCTTGTAGGCCGGGTGAACCTTCACACGCAGAGAATGAAAAGTCAGATGTGATAACATAAAAACAACACAACATTGTTGATTATGTGTTTTTTTTTTCCCCCACCAGGGTTCTGATCACATTTGGATTTTAATTAAGCAATTAAACAAAACATTTTTGGCTGATTTACTTTTATGCTTTCTTATGGGTCTTATTCTGATGTGAAAAATTATTTGCCCCCTTCCTGATTTCTACGTTTTTTGACACATCAAATTGTAATATCAGACAAAGATAATCTGAATAAATACAAAATGCAGTTTGTAAAGATTCGTTCAATTTCACTAGTCACACCTAGGCTGCTGAAATTACTTAAATAGAACATGTCTGACAAAATGAAGTTAATTAAAAGATCTAAATTAGTAACACATCACTCCACGATCGAAAGAAATAGCTGAGCAACAAAGTCACTGACATCTATCAGTTTGGAAAGGTTTACAAAGGCATTTCAAAGGCTTTGGGACCTCCCAGGGGTGTTCGACCGATCAAAATTAATCCAAGAGCGCATCAATGACTCATCCAGGACGTCACAAAAGAACCCAAACAACATCTAAAGAACTGCAGGCCTCACAGGTAAGAGTTCATGATTCAACAATCCGAAAGAGACTGGGCAAAAATAGCATCCATGGGGGAGTTCAAGGAAAAGACCACTGACCAAGAAGAACAAAAAGGCTCACACATTTACAAAAAAACATCTTGATGGACTTCAGTCAGATTGAGATGCTTTGGCATGAAGTCAAATAAGCTGTTCAAAATTTGTAAACTCTCCAATGTAGCTGAATTAAAACTATACTCCAAAGAAGAGTGGGCCAAAGTTCCTCCACAGTGATGTGAAAGAGTCACTGGCAGATATCACAAATACTTGATTGCAGTTCTTGATACCAAGGATTTGGAATGTTTGGAAAATTAAATCATTATTTAAAAACTGCATTTTGTGTTTATTAAGATTATGGTAAATGGTAAATGGCCTGTATTTGTATAGCGCTTTACTAGTCCCTAAGGACCCCAAAGCACTTTACACATCCAGTCATCCACACATTCATACACTGGTGATGGCAAGCTACGTTGTAGCCACAGCCACCATGGAGCGCACTGACAGAGGCGATCTTTATTTTTATCTTTGAAACATGTAAGTGTGAAAAATGTGAAAAAGTATTTGCGTGGTTCCTTCTTTAAATTCTTGGGGAAACCTTGCAGACACCAAACTGAGGAGTTTTATTTTCAGAGTGAGTGTTACAGGTGTAGTAATGGTGAACCCTGAGACTGATTACTGGTTACTATGATTGCCTCATTTGACAGAACAGGATAAACACACATGTATGTTACTGGTAACTAAAAATCATGGTAGAGAAACATTTTAAGAAGATCTTCCCGAAAAACAGTAAACTTGCAACTTGACTGTGTGTAGGTTTTTATGGTTATAAGTCCTGGGCGAACTGTCCTGTGGGGTAAAGAAAGGATGAACTGAACACTCAATTTATAACATAAACCGTCACACAAATCCAGAGGTTAGGGCCGGGGTTAATTCATCTTCAGATCATTAACAGTTTTGTCATACAGTTCAGTCCCAATGTTTTTGGACTATTACACATTTTTGTACTCTTGCCTCTGCACAACAACACAACTACCGTATTTTCCGCACTATAAGGGGCACTAAAAATCCTTTTATTTTCTCAAAAATCAACAGTGCGCCTTATAATCCGGTGTGCCTTATGTATGTATTCTGGTTGAGCTTACTGACCTCGAACCAATTTTATGTGGTACATGGCGCTCAAAAATCTGTCAAAAAATATTTTAGTACGACTTAAGCTATGAAGCCGCACAGCTTGATGGATTGTCTGAGCATTACAGCTACTGTAGAAGAAATGGACATAAATATAAAATATAAGGACTGTTTTTAATACTTCGATAAAAAACATTTGCAGTAGGTGACTACCTTAAATCTAGAACCCATGGATATCACAAAATGTACTGTATCTCCTGCCTTGACATGCTCTTTCAGGACATTATTACTGCCACCTCCAGTTGCTGCTTATTTATTTCGTTTTCGGTTCGTTAACTGAAAAGCATGCTCTATTAGGCACTGTAGGCTGTAGTCTTGCAGCTTTTGGCTGAATCTGAGCAGAGAGTAGAGCCCTGTACACGAGTCATATTTCTATCAGCAGTTATCAGTAATTGCTAATGATGTGGTTCATGTAGTGTGTCTCAGATCAAGAGCTTTTTCTCTCTTATGTACTTTTCTCTTCCCATTAGGCTGGTACAAGGTTTTTTCCCCTCCAGAGCTGTGCAGACACTTTTAGATGTTTTCTGGCAAACTCTAATCTGGCCTGTTCTTGAGTGTAACCAGTGGTTTGCACTTTGTTGTAAATTCTCTGTATTTACATTCCTTAATGTCTCTTGATGTAGACCATGACACTCCAACCTCCTTAAGAGTATTCTTGACCTGGTTTAATGTTGTAAAGTTGTATTTCTTAACCATGGAAATAATTCTGCGATCATAGTTAGTTGTCTTCTGTGGTGTTCAGTGCATTTATCCTTTTTAAATGAACTAGTGGTGATTTGGCCACATTACTACAAGTCGTTCCTGTCTCTCTAAACGGTTCATTTTTGTTCAGCCTATTCCCTTGCAATCAAATCCAAATCCAGATCTTTCAACTGCTTAATTTGTCACAAAATATGAAGGGAACAGGCCTCATCGTGCAATGGGACTGCTTTTCAGTCAATTGTTCAATTACTTTTGAGCCTCTGAAAAATTTGGGTCTGTGTATAAAAATGACTTCTAAACTTCGATTACATATTGATTATCTGATTCAAAACCCATTGTGGTGGTGCACAGAGGAAAAGTGAAGTGGATTCACACTTTTACATGCTTTGAACTGAGAGAAATTGATGTGAACTAACCCCGACCCAGCATGAAACTCAGTTTATATGGTTACATGTATCAAACCCATCAAACCACTGGAGTCTAACCTGGAGGACCTAGGGTTCCCAGAATTGCCAGGCAAACCGGAGCCGGGATAAAGGAATGGGGCAACAAAGAAGAAGAGCAGGTTTAGACAGAAGTAGGCATCAGTACAGAAACACAGTCATACCTGACAAAGAAAGAGGTATTTCTCCTTTACTGAATAAACCATGGGGGCTATTCGGCTTGACTTAATTCATGCACAATGATGTGGTATGTTAGCGTAAATGCTAGTTAGTTGTCTGCTTTTAAATATGTTGCTGTTAATCTTTTACAAATGACACTGATATGTATTCATATTTGACATAATTTTTATAGTCAATCATTAACATGTGAAACAACAACAAACTAAGATAATGTTAACTGGCACCATTAACCTTGTTTAAGTAACTCTTTGATAAGCGACAGCAGGATTACCATATGCCCTGTTTTTTAACCAGTGAGGTCTTCAACCAGTTATTGGTTTTGGGCTTTTTAACAGGTTTTGCAGGCAATAACAAAACTATAGCTAATAGCCTAACAGCCTTATCTTTCAAAGATACAAACAAAACCCCATTAAACTACAATATATACTCAATACTTAATGCTTAAATATAATTATACACAATGTGAAAATGACTAAGGTGAGTTAGTTATATGATGTGTTTTTGTATTTAAATTTTGTGGTGCTGATACATTCTGAATTTGCTGCAGCACCTACATGTGACCCAGATCATCTACATGCTGATTTGTGTTGCGATTATCACGATCACACTTGAAGAAAAAGAAAATCTTTAATAGTGGCTTACTTGTAAAAAAAGTGCATTATGCTACCATCAGAGTGCGTGGAAAGTGAAAAGAGACAGTTGTTAGGAGGAAATACAGAGGAGATGCAGTGATTTATCATCAATTTGTTCCTAAACTGATCAGAGAGGCGTTAAACTCGGTCAGTGCTGCTGTAAGAGACATGCTGGAGAAGTCTGGATGCTGTTGATCTGACCTGCAGGGCCTGTGGCGCACAGATGCACGAGTTGTCACGCGAAGAGGGCCCGCCACACCAAAGCAGGTGGGACCAAACCACAGGAAACAGGAGTAACATGTAATAACATTGTGTCACCCTGACAACCCCCAAAACATTTTCATGTAGCCTGATGCAGGGCTGGATAGCAGTTGGTTCTGACAATTGCTTTCAAAAGATGTGGCTTTTAAATAATGGGTGATTTCCAGTAAATATACACTCACTGCCGCTTATTAGTTACACCTTGCTAGTACTGGGTTGGACCCCTTTGAGCCTTCAGAGCTGCCTGAACTGTTGATAAAGTCAGGATGAATCCATGGTTTCATGTTGCGTACTTTTTAAATCTAACCCTACTACCTGAAGTCTGCAGCAGAAATCAAGAGCCAAGCAGTGTTTTTCTGATCTTCTGTTTTCCAATATTGGTGAATCTATCTGAACTGTAACCTTGGTTTCTTGTTCTTATGTGACAGAAGTCACGCAGTATGGTCTTCTATTGCTGTAGACCATCTGCTTCAAGGTTTTCTCTTTATTGTGTATTTAGTGATGCTCTTCTGCATACCTTGGTTTTAACAAGTGGTCATTTAAGATACTTTTTCCTTCCTATCAACTCAAATCAATCTGACCCTCCTGTGACATCAAACCATTTCCAGTGATATTTTTCTTTTTCAGGAGAAACTGTAAACCCTGGAGATGGCAGTGTGGGAAAACCCCAGAAGTTTATCAGTTTCTTAAATACTTATGTGGCATCAACCACCATGCCACATTTAAAGTCATTTAAATTAAATTTCTTCCACATTCTGATGCATACTTTAAACTTTCAACTATGCCTACATGCTAGACGCATTGAGTTGCCGCCATCGGCTGATTAGTTGAATTGGTGTACCTAATAAAGCGGCTGATAAGTATAAATAAAACCTGCACATCTACTTTTATCTTTTTTTTTACATAAAGAAAGATCACAATGCTACAAATTTGTTTCGGTTGCCTGTTATTACAGATGCTTCCATGAACTTGAGAATCATTTTTAAACCAAAAAGTATCTTTAAAAAATAGAAAAAGAAATAGTTAAAAACAGGGATGTTTTTCTGAAAGGGTTTGTCAGGAGAGTCCACTCTTTCCAGCACTGTATGAGACTTGTTCTCAGTGTGTATTAACACACACACGCATCTGTGCTTCTGTCGGGATGAACAGTGTCCATGCAGATGGCTGATTGGTGAGACAAAACCAAAATATGGCAGCAAAGCCAGAAACAAACCAACGACAGCTCTTATCCAGAATCAAAGAGTTTTTGCTCTTTATGCTAACAGGGTAAATGAATTACTGCAGCAGCAGTATTTTTGTCGTCATTGAAACATCTTTAATGACAGATTTTTGACTGAATCAGAGATTTTGGTTTGTGTCTGCTATACTTGTTTGAAGTTTTCTTTTCTTCAGAATGGTTCACAAACATACAAAGACACACACTGATCACAATGGTCACATTAGAGGACAAACACACACAAATACACACGATTCAGTGCTGTGGAGAGATGAATGGATTACAGCTTTGCCAATGACCAGAGCAAGAGAAGAGGACAAGGGGGTGAGGAGACATGAGGGCGTATTGTTTTGTGAATAAAAACATTTTTGGATGATGATGAAGACACAACACTGTGGCATAAACACATGCACTTTTTGGGACGTAGTCGTAACCCCAGAGGCAAACAGTGATTGGTGTGTGATGAGGTGAAGGAGGAGAACACTAACATTTACTCATGAGACCAGGGTGAGGTTGACAATAATCGGACAGGTGTGTTGGTTCTCATACTGGTGGTTTGATTGGTGCAACAATCTCCCATGCAAATCAAGGAGATGGAAGCGTTCACGTTTAAAGTGGAGATTCTGCCATTTGCTGTCTGGTTTTCTGTGGTTCCCTACAGGATTGGGTTAGTGGTTCTGAACTGGGAACCACAGGCTGGTATGTCCAAACCATGTTGTCTAGTTTGTCTACATTGTAGCATTTCACCAGCAATCCACCAGTGGTTGGGTTAGGTTTTAGCAATATCCTATTTAAGCCCATATAAAGAAGTCGAAACACATTCTTCTTTTAATGTACTTGTCCCACAGCTTTTTATTTACAGGAAGTGGCCCATTGGTGTGACAAGACTTGTGGATGGTTGATTGATTTCATAGTAATTTATTCGTCTTACCTTTAAATCAAACATTTTACACTGAAGGGAAGCATTATTCAACAGAGATATCCAAAGAATCAAGTAATCTGTGATGCCTATGGGCCAATTGGTTGTACAGCCATTTTCCTGCAAGTCTTGTGATGCAGTCAAATGCAGTGAGGCTGATTTTTCAAAGTTAACATTATGTTTATGGGTAAGAACGGAAGAATCCTCTCTGTGGTCACTGATTACACAGTATAGTTATTATTAATACAATAATCATCTGAAAACCAGGCAGCAAATTCTAATACTATATGTGGTGATAAATACTGTCCAAGTCCCTTACCTGCTCTTCCAGGTAATCCAGGGGGTCCTGTGGCACCTTTAGGGCCTGGCAGAGACAGCCCAGCAGGCCCAGGAAAGCCAGGGGCACCTTGTTCACCAGGGCCACCAGGTGAGCCTGGGTCTCCTTTAGGGCCGGGAAAACCAGGGTTGCCGGTAACACCAGGAGGACCTGGGTCTCCCTTGATACCTTAGCACACAGAGAGACAAATTAGAGAATGCTGAGAAAAAAAATGTAACTAACCTGCAAAACCAGCAAAAAATCAATAAAGAATACACAGGTATGAATATATATGTACTACAGGTGGTGGTAATTCACCTGGCAGTCCTGGACTTCCAGCAGGACCTGGACCACCGTAACCTGGAATTCCTGGAGGGAAAAGTAATGAAAATATTTATTTTTTAATAAACACAACGGAAAGTAATTTTGAATGTACAGCAAAATTACAGTTTCTGTAGATGCCCTGTGACTCACCTGCTTCTCCTTTGACTCCAGCTGGTCCTGGAATCCCATCGCGACCTGCCTGACCTTTCTCTCCTGGTGGGCCAGACGGTCCTTGTGGACCAGGCTCTCCTGGTCTACCTGGAGCTCCTGAGCTACCTGGGGTACCGGGCACACCGTCAAGACCCTTAGGACCGGGGATACCAGGAGGACCTGACAGGAGAGTAGAAAGAGAAGATCGACCCTTGCTTTGCTTCAATGAAAAGAAGTCCCATTAACACAAAAACTGATCATGATCGACATACGATACTGCCACCTCAAAGGGAATTCCTGGTAAAATAAAGGTAATATTAGTAATAAATTATCGGGATAAAATTCCTTCTTCACTCTGATATAAAATACATGTGACTGGCCAAAGTCTCTCATCCAAGGTTTGATTTTTCTAAATGCTTGAAATGGTAACGTGACAGACTCCTTCTCTAATTCCTTGAATTCTCAAAGTCGACTCCTTTTTTTTTAACTTTTTTTGGTCCAGTGAAGGCAAAAACGTGTCACCCTCTCCAGATTTACCAGCCAGAACCATTAATTGTGTTGTATTTTAATGCAGTTTTTTTTTCTTATTGCCTTTAAAAATGTATAATTGTATCTTTAATAGATAAAATACTGCCGGGTTCTCAAACTCCGGTCCTCGAGGGCCGGTGTCCTGAAACTGTGTTCCTGCTGCAACACACCTGAATACAATTAGTAGGTCATTAGCAAGACTCTTATAGAACTTGACTGCATGCTGAGGTGGCAATTCAGCCATTTGATTCATGTTACAGCAGCTCATGAGTGAATGAACATGGTAAATAAAAGTACTTTTAGAAGTACATTTTTCCAAATACTTTTGGAACATTTTACATTTACTTAAAGTAGGGTTAGGGTTTGACACTTCAGCATGCAGTCAAGTTCTATACTCTTGCTAATGCAATGCATTTGCAGTTTAATATCAGCAACTTATTTCAGCTTTTCATTCTTCTTTTCTACATCTGTTATGATCAGACTTACCTTGGAATCCTGGGAGTCCGGGGTCACCTTTATCGCCTGGTCTTCCCGTCCCACCTGTGGGACCTGGTAATCCTGGGTTTCCTTTTAGGCCTGGATTTCCTGGGTACCCTGGCAGGCCTGGATCACCCTACAAAGGATGTAACAAAAACTTTTAATGTGCACCAAAATATTATTTATAATAATAATATTTGTCTTTTTTACCAGGAAATCTGAGTGGTTCGATTATGCACCTTTTGTCCGGTTAGTCCAGGTGGTCCGACTCCAGCAGAACCTGGCTCACCTTTGGGTCCTTGGTTACCAGGTGATCCTGGCTGTCCTGGGGATCCTGGTATACCCGACACTCCTGATACACCTTTCAGCCCTGGTGGTCCTGTGTGTTCATTAAAGGGATAAGTAGCAAATAAAGTTTAACAAATGTTTGAAAAAAAGAATGTCATTAAGATACAGAATCAGGTATTCTCTTCCTTAGTAGCACTAACCAACACACCAGTGCATCATTGGTTTGTGGGCAACCAATATAGGTTTTCAGAACTTTGGGCACCACCATCTTGCTTTGAAAGCCAGAGTGTATGAAAGTGGGACTAATAATACAAGGATACTATGTAAACACTATATTTAAAAAAAAACATACCCTGTTTCTTTATTTGTCATTTATGTCCTCTACATGAAATGATAGTTGAAAAATCAAATAAAAATGATCATCATGATTTATTAAATCAAGTGATAAGCGAGCACATTTTATTAAGGCTTCAATTAAATTAAACTTATCTGCCAAACAAGTCACCTCCTGCTGGCAGTTAGAAAGAATGCCGGTTTAAGTCTGTTGCTCTATAGCAAGTTACAACATTTAATAAACAAAGTGTAGACCTGAAGGATATTAATTTGTATAGGCATATTTCGACACACAACCCTGGCCTTTAATTACTAACATGTACAGCAATAAGGACCAAAGTTTTGATAAAAAGCACCTGGGATTCCCATGTCTCCCATTTGGCCTTTAGGTCCTGGAGACCCAGGGATACCTGGACCTCCTGGGCGACCGTAATCTCCTTTAGGACCTGCAAAAAAATGAAATAGCATGTTAAAAATCTGTTTCTGTCTGTATTTATGTATGTACTTAGTATGTGTGCATTAGGGGTGAATTCATACCTGGAGGTCCAAGGCGGCCGGGACTGCCGTCTGTTCCTGGAAACCCAGGGTCACCAGGGAGACCAGTAGCACCTTTTGGACCCGGAAAACCTGTTCCACCTGTAGAAAACCAATATGTAAGATTTAACTCAAACGTTTTACTCTTTGAGGGCAGTGAAAATGTTTTCATCTCTACCTGAAGGTCCAGGATCTCCTTTTTGTCCCTTTAAGAGCTGCGATGGAACACTGGGTCCTGGCGGTCCCTGGAGGCCCATGTCTCCCCTCTCTCCTTTAGCACCAGGAGAACCAGGTCCGCCGTCTCTACCTGAAAATCCTGGTTCACCTGTGTAGATGCATCAGGCAGACCCTTTCATGAGTAGCTGCATACTTTTAATCCAATTATACCAATAACAGAGGACACAATTTACTTGAAAATGATAAATTACTTCATATTCTTTATATTATTTCAACCAGATTCCAGGTTTTTAATAGATTTTTTGCTGTAGGAAAAATTATCATTCTGCATATGTCAATTTATAACAATAAGTGTTATCATACATGATTTTTGAGGTAAGTATGGAGTGTGTCAGTACCTTTAAATCCAGGAGCACCGGGTCCTCCTGGGGCTCCCGGTCCTCCAGTAGGTCCTGGAGGTCCAGTGGGACCTATGTCTCCTTTCTGACCTGCAGCGAGGCCGGCATTACAGAGGAGAGAAAGTTAGAATAATCAATAAACCAAAAAAGTAAATATTTAATTACATACAAATAACATAAAAATGTCTATTATCATTTAGTCAACTGTTTCTAATTGGTACCTTATTAACTTTTTTGCTGGTCAGATTTAGATTTTCTGATAACTTTTGAGCTAAAAACAATTAGCTAGCCTACAAGCTGCCTTTATACTAAGTCATGCAGACATTCAGCCAGTCTTTTTGTAGTTAGTAAATGCTCTAAATGATCGACTGCATAGTGTCATCATGACAGCTTTTTGTCCTTTGCTTTATCAACTTGTGACATATAATGCTTTTTATTGCTTTTCATGATACCAATATAGCTAATGTTATTCATTTACAGCCATATTTCGATGATTGAAGAGTGACAGCTTACCTGGCAAGCCAGGCAAACCATCGCGACCAGGTCCTCCAGGTGGGCCTGGGGTTCCAATAGGACCTGGAAGACCTTGAAAACCTGGAGCCCCTGGGTCTCCTGGTGGGCCTGGGATGTCTAGACCTGGAGGGCCAGGGTCTCCTTTTGGACCATCTGATCCTGGCAGCCCTGTAAAGATGATTATTATGACTGTCCTCTTTTCCTTTAGGGACAACATTTGAACTGTCAGGTTAACAACAATTTGAAGACAAACATTTTTACTCTCCACTCCCCTGGGCGGTCAAGATTTTGAGGGGTTGTACTGGTTCCCACTTCTGCAATATTGGAAACAGTGCTTCTGGATTTGGAAAGTAGGAAGGAGTGGTTCAGCTCCAGGGTTTATATACATAGAGTTTGCTCTATGTGTGCTTTGGGTATATGACCACACCCCTAACCTGTGGGAAGCATTTTGGAAGAATAAAGTATTGGCGCCCAATGTTACAAGCTATTCAGTCCCTTTGTTCTAATAATCAGGGTTTGGGTCATATTGTAAGTTAGACTTACAGTCTCCAGACTGGAGAACATTGGATCCTCTGGGCACAGCTAAGGAGCAGAGTGTTTCTGATCCTATGGCTTCAGAAACACCACCGATCAGTGAACTCCATCTTGCACCAGCGTGATTTGTAATAGTGGCTAGGATGAGAATTATTTCTTTCAAGTCTGAGGCCATGTAGAACCTCAGCTGTACAGTAGATTCCCTACTTCTGGCTGGCAGTGAGTTATTGCTCCAAGTAAAGGGGTTCAAGAATTCTGGGTTACGTTCTAGAGTGGAGGAAACTCTAAGCTAAAGACTGACAGATAGACTAATGTGACGTCTGGTTGTCAGAGCTGAGCCTGAAAGTGAAGTAGTCAAATTATAGAAATAGGGTTGAGCAATGTTCCTGCTCTTGTTATCTGCCTGGGATAACTACTAAAATCCACCTGGATGAGGTGTCTCCTGCATATCCTACTAGCAGGAGAGCCCAGAGACAGAGCCATAGAGATCAGATTATGTCTAACAGTTTAAACTGCTGACGGTAGAATGGATATTCTGTAATGCTGAGTTTTCTCTTTTCAGCCAAACCTTATGTGACTTACCTGGTGGTCCCATTGGGCCCGGAGGTCCCGGGACACCTGGTGGGCCCGTTCCACCAAAAGAGGGGGGTCCAGGGGGGCCACGAGATCCAGGTGTACCAGGTGTACCAGGCTCACCTGCACAGACAGAGGATAAAGTGTCAGTTCAAAGTTCTGGCCTGGTGTCATTTTGTTCTAAAACAAAATCACACAATCTAAAGAGTACCTTTGAATCCTGGAGCTCCGTCAGCTCCAGGCCGTCCTGACAAACCGGGGTTACCAGGGAAACCAGGATCTCCCTTAGGCCCAATGGAACCTTTAGGGCCTGGTGCACCCGTTAAACCAGGAGGACCAGGAAGTCCAAGACCAGGTTCACCCTGTCACACATATAACCAAAAAGAGCGTCGGGCACACAGGGAGGGACGAACAGTACAGTTTAGGACAGAACAAGAGGCATTTAATGAAAGCTACTAATGCATAACAAAAACTATGAGCCATAGTCATCACAAAAATGTGTTCAGTTAAATAAGGTTCGTGGGGACATGTGTTGCTTAGAGAAAATTGCTTAATATAAAAAAAGCTGTCATTTTCAAATTGTAAGGATTATTTTATCCTTGTTATTTTAACCTTCTACAGATAATAATGTTAGTAAAATTGGTATTCACAATTATCCATTAAATATATTAAAACATATATATACACATACCTTTGGTCCAGGAAATCCCAGCTCACCGGGACGTCCATCTATCCCTGGTCTTCCTGATCCTCCAGGGGCTCCTGGCTGCCCGCCAACACCCGGGAATCCTGGAGGAGGAAAGAAGTGAGTGTGAGATGAAGAAGGTAACAATGATACAAAAAGCAGAGAGTATGTAAGGAAGTACTCAGAAGAAGTTGATAAAGAGAAGAAAATGTAAATAGAAGTGGACAAAGGAAGACAAAAAAGCAGAGGTAGAAAGAGCAAAGGAAGACAGATAGAGAACTGTTTATCGCTATCTTTGCCTTTTGGTCCTGGAGGTCCTGGCAGTCCAATGCCTGGGATTCCGGGTTCACCCTTCGCTCCCGATAAACCGGGAAAACCAGGCTGTCCAGGCTGACCTGGTACACCTGACAAAGGGAAATGACCAAATTAGGCAATCAGGCAGCATGTATGTTACTTTAGATACTGTGAATGGAAAGTATATTATTTTACAACAAAATAGTGACTCGTGTACCTGGTGAACCAGGCTGCCCAGGCTCGCCATCCCGACCTCTTTCTCCTTTGCCCCCTTTCTCTGTCATTGTCTGACCAGGTTCACCCTTAGTTCCTTCGTGATGACAAAATGCACAGATAAAAGGTTGGATGCTTTCAGTGAGCAGACAGCAGGACAATTGGACATGAAATGGATGTCAAATAGCCTGTGGGAAAAATCTATGTCCATTCTATTTTGCTATGTTTTCTTTATGGTAACTTAAGTAAAATAATTTTCAAAGTTCAGTATTAAGACCTCTACAGGAGATTTTGGGCAAGATGTGGAAAAAAACCTTTTTGATGCAATGAACAGTATGTTCCAACTCAGGCTATAGCTCGACTTTATTTATAGCTAGAACCTCAGAAGATAAAATGTGTGAAAATATAAATTAGATCAACATATAATTTACTTTGCTGTGTTGTGAGACACAACACTGGTCTAATTTGGTAAGGTACAGTGGGGGAGATAAGTATTTGATCCTCCTAGAAGTCAAACAGAATTCTGGCTCCTATGGTTGGGTGTGTGCCCATGTGCACACGGATTACGGTCAATAAATAAGATACAGCTGATCTGAGCTTATTTTGTGTATAAAGCACACCTGTCCACAGAATCTAAATTTTCCATTCCGACCTTTCCATCACCATGGGCAAGACGAAACGACCATCAAAGGACGAATGGGCTAAAGTGTTATATTAATTGTTGGTGATTATTAGGAAATGGAGGAAATCAACCTCAGTCTGGAGCTCAACACAAGGGGCAAGGATGATTATAAGAATGGTGATTGATTACAGGACAGGAGGAGCTTGTTAATGATCTGAAGGCAGTTGGGGCCAAAGTCACCAAACACCACTGGTAACCAGTGTTGGGCAAGTTACTTTGAAAAAGTAATTAATTATAGTTACTAGTTACTTCTTCAAAAAAGTAACTGAGTTAGTAACTGAGTTACAATATTCTAAAAGTAATTAATTACTTGAAAAGTAACTATTGCGTTACGTTTAACCCTCTGGGGTCCAGGGTATAACCGGCCATTTTTAACTACTTTTGATTTTCCCTCCACATTTTACCTTTAAAAACTATTTTAAAAGGTAAAAACTACTATATAATAACTTATGGCAAAGGGGTGGGATTAAATAAGTGTTTACTTCTTCCCACTCCCTTTCAACATGTAAATGAATATGAATGGTAGCAATATTGAAATGTACTGACTTTTGCATAGTATTTTTTCTCTCTTATTTTCTTTTCTAAATGTACCTGTATATTGTTTACATGGTTGAAATAAATTAACTATCAATCAATTTGCTTTGCCTTGTTTGGTATCATCCTTTTCAGCACAACCTCACGTGTCTGAATTTACAGTTATGTTTTCATTTTGACATACTGTATTAACACAATTGATCTAAAATCAGGCAAAAAACATAAAATCAGAGTAGAAAAAGTTATATTTTTTACTGTAACAACCACAAACATGTTTAATGAATCATATTTCATAACTTTTAAATGCAAATATAAATGGTCAGTTTTAAAATCCTATGCACAAGTTTTGCAAACAACAAAGTTAATTGCATGCATCTACCTTTTACCTTGAATTAAAAAAAAACAACATTTCAAACGATTTACAGAACAATCAGCTGTTCTGCATTCAATAAGATGCCACACAAATTATTTGTGCCACTCCAAAAAATAATTTCTGTCCACTATAAAGGAGAACATCACAACCTGAAACCTGCAGGTCTGACAGCAGCAGGTGTATCACTCCTGTTTCTACCTGGAGACAGCAGTCGCCTCATTGCGCAGCTGCTTAAAGCTGTAGCATCCAGATTACTTACAGCTACTTCCGTGCAACTGATATAAGACGCGGTAAACTGAACACAGTTTCAACCATCTGTTTGTTGAAAAATAGTAACGAACCGCATTTTCTTGTTAGTAACGGTAACGGCGTTGTAACGATAGGAATAGTAATTAGTTAGATTACTCGTTACTGAAAAAAGTAGCGCCGTTAGTAACGTCGTTACTTGTAACGCCGTTATTCCCATCACTGCTGGTAACACACTATGCTGTAATGGGTTGAAATTCTTGAGCAGGGAGACCCACAAGGGCCTATAATAATCGCTCCCTGGAAATGCTACAGCACAACACATCAGGTAATTTTGTTTATTTTATTATGAATGACTAA